CCCCCCCCCCCCCTTCAACTTTTTGTAGCTCCCTATCGGACTTAGAGACTTGTTAATGACATTCTAAGGTAAGGCAATCTGTGTCACAAAGAAAATGTCTTACACCAGAATTTTTTTTGGTGGTGGTGGGTTGGTGTCTTGTCCCCTCACCCCACCCCCCTCCCCCTCCAACTTTTTGTAGCTCTCTATACCGGTTATGGTGTTGTTAATGACCTTATCTACTTTATTTTCTCACACAGAAATTTAAAAATGAATTGAAGAAGCTATTTTTCACTTTTGGAAGATGTCCAATGCTTCTACTAACAACGGCTTCGTGCAGGAAATAAAGCACAGTTTTTGGTTCGTGTCAGCAACAGCATTCATATCAAGGACGTCTTCCCGATAGATTTGCAAGAATTCCTCCATTATTTGTGCACTCAGAACATACTCACGCGATAATATAATGTATTATTTAGACTTGGTGTACCTTAACGACGTTTAAAGTTTGCGTTGTTGAAAACGAGATGGTTGTTTCCTCTCATTCTTCTTCAATTACTTCCTCGACTCTTGGAACTCTCCAGTTTAGAGCGATTTTCAATGGATTGTCGAAAGTAGACCGCGGTTGTTTTGATTTTACTTAAATTCGCTCTGTGATTGGTCCAGAGAAGTCGCGCCATCCTCCCAATCAATCAGATGCTAAACAAAAACAATCGCGACTTGGTCGCAAGCGATTTCCCGCGCTTCACTTCTCACTTTGCGTTCTCATTGGTCGCCGATGTTTAACCTTTTTTCTGATTGGTCTGTGGGATCGCTTTTGTTTTGCGACACTGAATTGAAAACCGCTCTATTGTAAGGATTTATATTTCACTAAATTACAGATTTCCACAATGACCGATATATTCAACCCGAGATACTTACCTGCCTTTGTACAAACGTAGATTTTTTTAAGTGATATTTCTTTTGCTTTTATTTCAAGGCAATGTCTTGATTAAATGTGCGTTGCTCTGTTGGAAAATTGTACAATTCTGACTCCTAGAGCTTTGTTGCCGTAAAATGAAAAAGAAATTGTCTGCGCATGTAATCCATAGTGTAAATTCTTTAGTTTGAATTGATAAGAATTGCAGTCATGGATCGAAATTCCCTTCTTTCTTGGACTTAAATACATGGATATCTTTGATAGAGTAGTCGCTTTTGTTTGCGTAAAGGTGAGTGAATGACATCGAAACAAAATAGCTAGTCACTCTAAACAGGAAGTACTTTGCTCTCGTAGAGGCCAGCTAATTCTTAGACGGTCTGACGTCACTCACCCAAAGCCCCTCCCCTTTCCAAGGTAGTTACTGCTGTTCACCAAGACGTTAACAGAGTAATACGTTTATGACGGGTGAGGCATCAAAACCAAACTTGAACTTAAATCCCTGATTGGCACCCACCATCTTTCGGAAAGTGTGGGTTATAGTTTACTGGGTAATAAAACTTGTAAATGTAATTTGGTCCGCTGGTCATAATTATCTGGCAAATGACATAATACAGAAAAGTGTAATGTGCTTGTGGTTTTTTTTAGCCATTGCGACTTGCAATAGTATAGCGAAATCGCCCTCAGTTTATTTGAACAGTTGTCGTAAACCTGAAGGGTTTTGCTTAGAAATTAAATGGATTAGTTTAAAAACGGAGATGAAAACTCAGCGCCCCAAATGAGATTTCCATGTAAACCAAGATGAAATCAGTAAAAGTCTTCTCGAAGGGTTTGAAGTATATCCTAATGCAGTCAGTTGTTGTTGGATAAGCAATCTCGGTCTTTCCTAATTCTGAAATGACTGCCTTTTTGGTTTGCTTTTCAGTTCAACTCTTTTATTCTCCGGAGTTCATGCGGAAATTCTCGAATTGCCGCCGAGTTTCCACTTACCGTCACTGCAATGAAAATTATTTAAATAGCCAATTGGAAAAAAAAACAGGAATATTGCAAGGGGCCAGATAGAACTGAAAGCGAAAACAGGCAGACGGAGCGCGGGAAAACGCGGGGGGCATGCCGCGATTAGTTTTAGGTTTGTATCTGATTGGTTGCATTAGTGGGTGGCACGAGAGTGATCTCGACCAATCACAAAGCCAAAGCAATTTCTACCGCTTTAGATACCGGATGAAAATGATTTTTACTAATTTCAAGCTTGCGCAGAATACGTTGACTATTCTAGTACCTAAGGTTAAAGAGGGTTACTCTCTAATAGGCTACAAAAGTCACAGAATATGTCTACCGAAGGAAATATCTCCTGATAAATCCACTGACATTTCATTTCGCTTATCTCAAGGGAGACTGAAACCAGTTAAATCTCTGTGCTTTTTTTTGAGAAGATTTTTACCGCTGATACTTCGACTCTTTCTTCAGTACCTGTTGAAATTATTAAACGATTATGTTGACAGTTAGATTAAAACGTGGTCGAAGAATGTTTGCTAGAAATTTATTGTGGGTTGTTTTTCCGTAATTTACACCTGCAATTACGCAGATTTAATGATAGCAAGTCAAATAAATTGAGTTGGGAAATCATTTATTTCATTTGACTTAAATTTCTCAATTTCTACCATAGACAATTCATTTCCTTAATAAGAGCGTTAAAGTCTTATGATTTGGCAATGTTGATATCGACATGAAAAGTGTTCAAGAAAACATTTTTTGTAAAGCTGGGATAGTTTTTATTTAAACTAGAATTGGATGTTTGTTGCCAAACAGAACCACGTTGTGTACCTTACAGAGTCTACAATCGTTTTTTAAGCTCAATGGAAGCCATTTCAAGGCAAATAAGACTGGCACTTCCTCCTCGCTCGTGATTGGTTGGCGTCAATGAATACTCAGATGTATTTATCAATACCATGTTATAACTAAGACCATAGTTCTTTTTAACCATCAAAACAAATCGTGTTTCATCCAAGTTAGAAGTTGCAAAAGAGAAAAGGACAAATATGACGGGCATCTTGAGAACTATTTTTTTAGTTTCTATCGCAGCAACACTTTTAGCATCGAATTCCGCCGTTGCAAGAAGTCGCTGGACAAGGGATGTTTTACCTCCAAATAATGGCGGAGAGTTTCTTGGTACATACTCTTCGTTTCACAGACCGTGGTATGGAAAACGCCGTGAATTTGAATCAGAGAAAAAGGTATTTGTTTTGATAGGCCGTGTCACTTTGAAAAAAATTATAGAAAATAATTTTGTTGAAGTGCAATGGTTCTAATAGTTTATTCAGTGTCTAGAAAATAAAAGTGCTCCTCATCACGAGACAATGATAAGTAGTATGGAACAATTCTAAAAAACTGAATGGAAAAAAGGGTGTTTACTTTGAAAAATTGTGCCTCTTAACCAAAAAGGAACTTGAATGGAAAAGCTCAAACAGTTTGAAATATCCGTGCTTGGAAATAATCCAGCATAACACTTAAATTGTGTCTTACGTTCTGTTACTTTGGTTAAAAAAATTAAGCAATGGGAGCGTTATAATTTTAAATAAAATACCACTGATATCATATTTGTACTGATGTCTGGCACTCTAGAAGGTTATACACTGGATTTGAATTGCACAAGGACAAAATTTGAGTACGAAAAATGTTTAGCATATAAATAACCAACTCTTTTTGTGAATATAATTGTTCAAATTGTGGCTTCAATCATGGGTTTAACTGTCTCATCAAGATTGTCCAAAATAAAGATTAACATTGAAATAAGGTCAACTGGATCGCCAATTTAAAAGTCGCCTGACCGCATAAACCAAACATTTTCCACAGTTTTTTTTTCATGTCGCGTGCAATATTTGAAGGTTAGAAAACTGTAGAATTTTCTCCTTTGTTTGGAACTAAAGTAAAAACATGTTATGGACGAAAAAATTTACCCTTTCAATGTTATTTACAATGTGAAATTTATAAAATTTTGCGTTTATTAAAGTCATCCGTGGCTTTGTCAATGTCATCGATAATCTTACTCGTGATAGAGAAGTTAACGTGTTTCTGAATCAGTCAAAGTCATCCATTTATCATTGTTCTTAGTGGAACAATTAAAACTACCTGACATGTTTTAATCTTAATTATCAGTCATTTGTCGTATTTTATTCATCCGTTTCCCGATTTCCCCCGCCCTTAATAACTTGTAGATAAGTTTGGGCGGAAGAAGGGTGATCCAATTTAGAAGAAGAAGAAACAATATTTACTGAAGTAGTTGTTGAATCATGTGAACACGACAAAAACCTGTCCAAGACAATGGAGAGAGAGTTTTTTTTTTCTCTCCTTCTCAAAATACAGTTATGGTCATCGGGAAAC